CCAGCGGTTGTTTACTCTGGTTATTATTATTTTTTGTTTGTTTGTTTAATAGAGTTTGAATGTGTCCCTTCTTCGAGTTAAGCTCGTGAAGGATCGCTAGATGTCTGAGTTATTGTAGGCATTGTTGACAATGTTGGGTTCCTTGGGTTGCGATTTTCCTTCTATTATTTTCTGTAAGGCTGGGTTTCTGGCTACGAATTGTTTAAATTTGTTCTTATCCTGGAATATTTTGTTTTCTCTATTGATAGTGAATGATAGCTTGGCTGGGTATAGTAGTCTGGGTTTGCATCCATGGTCTCTTAGTTTCTGCAGTACCTCTATCCAGGACCTTCTGGCTTTCATGGTTTCCATAGAGAAGTCCTCCAATGGATGACTGCTAGAAGATTACTGCCTCTTGCTGGCCAGGAATGTGGCTGAGCTGACCCAGAGCCTGCCTGTCCTCAGGCAGGCTATCAAAGCACAGGAACTGCCCCTACCGGGTTGTGCCCACAACCCAGGCCCAGCGTGCAAGGGAGCTGCTCTGGGAAGATCTTGTGGCCCCAGGGGGAAGGAGGGAAGAGAGGAAGGTGTACCTGGATGAAGGCTGGGATGGGATTCGGGAGAGCTCCGCAGGGTGAAGTCACCACTGCAGGGTGACCAGGAAGTCGAGGGGGGCAGGGAAAGTCTGAATTCCTCCTAGCCAAAGCCCTTGGGCCAGGAGCACACTCACCCTTCCTCCAATGGATGTCTGCTAGAAGATCATTGCCTCTTGCTGGCCAGGAATGTGGCTGAACTATCAAAACACAGGAACTGCCCCTGCCGGATTGTGCCCATATCCCAGGTCCAGCGCACAAGGGAGCTGCTCTGGGGAGATCTTGTGGCCACAGGGGGAAGGGGGGAACAGAGGAAGGTGTCAAAATTTATGAAATCTTACATAAACAATATAACTTCTAGATATAATTATACTAATTGTAATATAGATCTAATGATAATAACTAAACATTGAACTTAGACTATATAAATGAATTTATTCAAACAAGTTATTAAATTCTTAGCATAATGACAAACATAAGATATTCTTAGTAAATGTTTATGATAAATGTAGTCATTTTAATCATATTTCCTCTTTCAAAGAGTGTATATGCAAAAGTGATACAAGACATAAATTAATTGATGGAGCCATTTATGGGGTTAGAAACACACCTTGCAATAGAAAAATTTCCAGGAATCCTCAAGGATGACCCCAGCTAAAACCCTGACCAGTAGCAGAGAGGGTGCCTGTACTGGCTTTGCCCTCTAATCAGACGGATGACTATTTTAAATGTCACTATAGAACCTTCATCCAGCAACTGATGGAAGCATAGACAGAGACCCACTTGATAGGAGAGTTTAGCCAATCACATCCTGTTCATGGGGTATGTCGCCCTTAGGCTAAAGTTTACCTATAAACCTGGCGAGTACACTTCTGGTAGCTCTCTCTCACCTGGTTCCTGCGTCCCGATGGATCTTTTGGATTCTGGTGTAAGCTGGTGTAATTCTTACTTCTGTTTATTAAAGCTGTATATTTTATATTAATATTGTCTGGGGACTTTTCATTACCGATCGCCCTGCAGCATCATCTGGCACCCAAGGTGGGGTTTCTCCCCCCTCATGGTGAGGGCCTAGCAGCCTGAGCGCACACCTGGTGTCTCTCTGCAGCCTCACGGCTTTTACCATGAATAGCCAGCTCCTAGCCTAAGTACAAACCACATTCATGGGGCCGCCGCCGAAACAGCAGGCAGCTAACTTCCTTGCTACACCTTAAAACCTGCACACTAGATCCCAGAACCACATACTGCTACTGGCTCCCAACTGGCCCCGACCTTGGGCGGACTGGGGAGGGGACTTCTTGGCTTCTGTTACCCACCTCGGGCAATGACTTTCCTGCCGGAGCAGGTGCACACGATCTGTGAATTTAACCTCCGGATTTGAGTGCATATATTTTAGAGTTTGCTTACTGGTTTGACTCCATTGCTACGTGGATTCAGGTGCGCCCCCAGTCACCTACTGGCAGGCAACTGTCATTACAGGTAAGATTTTTCTTTTCGGTTGAAAAGAAATAAATACATACATACATACAAGTACAATTTCTTTTGATTAAAAATGTCAGAAAATATTACTATCCAAAAGTTCAATGGCTTTTTTAATTTCACTATGGAGGATATTCTGAAGGATGCCTCTGATATTTCTCTTACTTGGTGTTTTCTGGGATCTGTCGCTTTTCTGGTGTCTGGCTATTTTATAAGGATGATGCAGTCCTTACAGATTGAATCCACAATGCTGAGGGCAGAGATTAAAACCTTAAGGACAATTCAGACTGACACCAACCTCCTCAAAAAAGAGTTTGGAGTTTTCAAGGAGGAGACTAGATCAGAATGAAAGACCCCCCCAGAGGGTGTCTTGAACACTTGGAGACCCTCGCCAAAGAACCGAGTCTGAGCCACTGGATGCAAGAGCAAGAGGCAATTTTTATTGTTCACACAGGACCTGTGGGTGCTGCAGTAACACGGAGAAATGAGCACCCTGGGCTGGGTTTTGGGGCAGATTATATAGGTTTGGCGTAGGCAGAAGCAAGTGTACAGAAGCAGATGCAAGATTACAGGGATCTCATTGGTCAGTTTGAATGAGGCGAGGGGTGAATTTGAGGTCAGGTCCCTTGGCCCCTGGCTGGGATCATAGAAACCAGATAATAGCTGACCTGACCCTATCTAAAGCACATATGGTTTTCCCCGAACTTTCCGTTCCCCTCCCAGGCCAGGTGTCTGACCATAAATCTCCTGTTTTGCGACCTGGTGAGGCTGTCCTCGCCCTGACCTTCCATTATTCCTATTTGTTTGTGAAAGAGCCTTGCAAAATGGCATTACTGCAGCTAAAGCTGGGTCGGGGTCTTATATTCCCCCATTTCTCTTATCATTGAATTAAATCTTTTACTCAAGCTGATTATGTTATCTCTGTCTCCTGTTGTCTCAGTTGCTGATATTGGTGAGTCAATATCAGGGTCTGGATGACGGATAGCCTGTCCTTCATGAATTGGACTTGGCAGTTGAGAATGCAAAGTCCAAACAGGAGTATCAGGAGAAAAATTATTAAGGGATTATTAAATAATTATTAAATTATTAAAGAAGAGAGTAGGGTGGCAAACCAGGGGGATTTATTGAACCATCCTTCAAACCATCCCTGTTGTGAATCTAATAACCTCTGTCTCTTTTCCAATCTTTCCCTAAGCTTCGCCATGTTGTCCCTTACTATCCCAGTATGATTTGCATAAAAACAGCATTCTTCCTTTAAGGCAGCACATAGTCCCCCTTCCTGTAGGAATACCAGATCTAGCCCTCTTCTGTTTTGGAGGACTTCTTCGGAGAAGGAGGTTAAGGACTTCTCGAGGGCGCTGACTAATTCCTCTAAAGCCGAAATCATCTGTATGCATGGCTGCCTGTAACTGTCTGAACTGATTCGTTTCCATGAGTGCCACGGTTCCTGTCCCCACACCGGCAGTTATACCCCCCATTGTGATACCCCCTAATATCAATGCAAGAGTCAAGGAGATGGGTTCCCTTCTGAACCGGGCCTTTTCTCAAAATGGTTGTAAATATATTCTGGCTCATGATATGTAATCTTGGGCCATAGTTCCACTAGCACACAATAGTCAGAGGTTTGATTAAGCACTGTAGCAGATACGCAGGGTGTTAGGCCCGTATTGCATGCCCAATAAGTACCATTAGGGGCCGCTAAATAGTGGGAACCAGTGGTGACCTCCCAAGTCAGGTTGCAGAGTGCCTGGTGGGACTGAAGGACTGTTTCTATGCAGAGCCCTTTTCCCGAGACCACCGATAAGGTCAGCTTGTGTTGTGGGGAGGCCTTGAAGCTAAGGGGGGGCACTAGTCTGATTGGAGTAATTACCTGTGACTGCAACTCCCTTCTAATGGGGGGGAGCTGGAGACCAAACATAGCCAGCATTCTTGGGTTTTATTGGGGTCAGAGTAATTTAGGGCTAGATAGACCCCCTGTACCAGGTTGAGCAATCTATCCCCCATTCCAGGAGGGGGGTCCCTGGGACCCCTGGTAGTAGGGGTCATGCTTGTAGGGCTGCCAGGTGTAGAGGATGGGGAGGTGTGGGGGATTCAGCTGGAGGAATGACTCGAGCCGGCTGAGATGGTGACCTCCTCTCTCCCAAGACTTGTTTTGGTTCTATAGAGAGGGTGGGTCTTTGCACCTTAAGTTTAATTTTGAAGGTTAATCATATTCCTATTTTATACCATTGAAGCCCCCAGGCATATCCCCCTTGCCAATCTGTAGCCTTCTTTCCTGACTCCGTGAATTCAATCCTGAGAGGCAAGCAAGTGCCATTAGAGCATGTGTAACTACCCCAATTTCAGTTTTCTTCTTCACAGCCACCTATGTAGTTATTGGACCACCATTCTAGTGGCGGCTGATTCCAGCCTTGGGTACCGTTATTTTGTCCCAGATTGATCTGGGTTTCCAGTAGGCGTCCCCAGTTGTTTCACATCCCCATGCTGCGCAAAATGTTTTGTTGTATCCCCCACATTTATAGGCCTGGGCCGAAGTTCTACCATCCCTGGGGCATAAGTAAAAAGATGCTCCTGCCAATATGCACCTCCTCGTGGGGCTAGGGCAGCCCTCCATGGCTTGTCCTCCCAAGGTGGGTTCCCTTGTTGTTTCTAGGGGCTTTGTGGGGTCTGCATCAGCTATATCCCAAGAGTCCAATCCCACAGTCAATTGGCAGAAATCAGGTGTAAGTGTGGGCCACCAAGTATTAAGGGCATGGGTGCCTTTGATTTCCCATACAATTTCTCCGCTTTGGGATTGAATTTGCCAGGTCAAGGTATGCACCTGGTGTGGGCTCCTGCCCCCTGGCTTGGTGGCAGTTCCCGACCCAAGTATAATTAAGGGTCCCCATGAAAGAGTCTTATCTTTAAAGGGTTTTGAGTGCACTGTACCCTCCATGTCGAAGGTCTGGTTTCTTAAGTTTCCTCAGTAGCTCGGGCTGCTTTGACGTGGGAGGCATGTACCCAGGCCACAATCCCATCCACTTTGAGTGCTGTTGGGGTGGTTAAGAGGACAGTGTAGGGGCCCTTCCACTGAGGTTCCAAGTTCTTAGTCTGGTGTCGTTAAATCCAGACGGAATTGCCAATCTGGAACCGGTGAGGTATTGCTACGGAGTCAGCGGCTTCTTTATAAGCAGCTGCAAGGAGTCTCCAGACCTCTCCCTGCACCAGTTGCAGGGCCTGCAGATGAGCTTGAAGAGAGGGGGAGTCAGTGTAATCATAAACATCAGTATCAAAAAAAGTTATTGCAGGCGGCAGTGTACCATATAGGATTTCAAAGGGGCTCAGCCCATGTGGTCCAGGGGTATTTCTGACCCTATAGAGGGCCAGTGGTAGGAGGGTCACCCAATCCTTTAAGCCAGTTCCAAGCCATAATTTAGATAAAGCCTCCTTGATTGTTCTGTTCATTCTTTCTACCTGTCTTGAGCTCTGGGGTCTAATTTCCAATCAATCCCCAGTAACTTGGCCACCAACTGACTTACCTGGGAGACAAAGGTAGGACCATTATCAGACCCGAGTACCTTAGGCATCCCATATCGGGGAAAAATTTCTTCCAGTAGCTTCTTGGTTACAACTTTTGCAGTTTCATGCTTGGTGGGGTAGGCTTCCATCCATCCTGAAAATGTATCTATGAAAACTAGGAGATATTTATAACCATATATGCCAGACTTAATCTCAGTGAAATCTGTTTCCCAATGTGTCCCTGGTCTATGCCCCCAAGGCAAACTCTGGGAGCAATCTTAGTCTGGCCTGAATTCACCTGAGCACAGGCCCTGAAATTATTCATTGCCTTTTGTAGGGCCTCATCTCTGTTCAGGAGGTATTGCCCAGTCTCTGTTCAATCAAACAGGATCTGCACCTTCTGGGCACTCAGGTGGGTTAACTTATGGAGGTGATCAATCAATTCAGCAGTGATTTTCATGGGGATTACAGTCCTTCCTTGGTAGACCCATCGCTTGCGGGACGGGACAGCCTCTAACTTCTGTATCATGTCTAGGTCCTCATCAGTATAGTCCCAGTCTAGGGATTTGGGGTTGCTCTGTTCAACAAGAATAGTGGCTGTCAGGAGCTGGGGGCCCAGGGAAGCTTGCCTGGATGCTTCATCAGCAAATTGATTCCCTTTTGCCTCGGAGCTATTGCCCTTTTGGTGCCCTGGGCAGTGCATAATGCTCAGTCTCTTAGGAAGAAAAAGGGCCTTCAGCAACGCCAAGATCTCAGTCTTATTTTTAATCTCTCTTCCCTCTGAGGTTAATAGTCCCCTCCTCCTATAGATTTCTCCATGTATGTGAGCAATGGCAAAGGCATATCGGCTGTCTGTAAACACATTGAGTTTCTTACCTGCTGCCAGCTGGAGGGCTTGTGTCAACACGATAAGTTCCGCGTGTTGAGCAGAGGTGTTTCCCGGAAGGGCGCTGGCCCAGATTACCTGTGTCTCAGTGGTCACTGCTGCTCCTGCCCATCGCTCCCTGTTTAGCAGGTGGCTACTGCCGTCTGTGTACCAAGTTAAGTCCGCATCCTTGAGGGGCTGATCAGTCAGGTCAGCACGGGTTCCACGCATTTCTGCAAGGATTTGTTGGCAGTCGTGGGATGCGGGCCCCTCCTGCAGGGGCAGTAATGTTGCCGGATTGAGGGCAACTATCAGACCAAACTGGATTCGGTCCACATCCAGAAGGAGAGACTGGTAATGGGTCATGCGGGCATTTGACAGTCAGCAATTGGGGGGTTGGTGGACAAGGGACTCAATTGCATGTGGTGCTAGTACGGTCAATGGCTGTCCCAGAATCAATTTGGCAGCATCCTTAATGAGAACTGTGATAGCCGCAATCATTCTTAGACAAGGGGGCCATCCAGAGGCCACTGGGTCCAGTTTCTTGAACAGATAGGCAATGGGACGTCTCCATGGCCCAAGTCTCTGAGTTAAAACCCCTTTTGCAAAGCCTTGCTTTTCATCCACGAAAAGTTCAAATGGCTTAGTTATGTCAGGTAGGCCTAAGGCTGGAGAGGAGATGAGTGCTCTCTTGATACTGTCAAAGGCCTGCTGTTGAGGCTCAGTTCAGTTAAAGGGGGCTCCCTGCTTGGTTAATGGGTATAAGGGAGCCGCCATCTCAGCGAACCCTGGGATCCATAATCGACAGAACCCAGCCATCCCTAGGAATTCCTGTAGCTGGCGATGGTTCTGGGGCACAGGGATACAGGATATAGTCTCTTTGCGAGTGGCAGTCAGCCATCGCTGATCATCATGTAGCTTGTATCCCAAATACGTCACCTCTGTCTGGCAAATTTGAGCCTTTTTAGCAGAGGCTCGGTATCCTAGCTGTCCCAGTGTTTGCAACATGGCCCCAGTACCTTTTTGACAGTCCTGTTCAGTTGGGGCTGCTAATAGCAGGTCGTCCACATATTGGAGCAGGATCAATGAGTGGTGTTGGATCTGGAAATCTGTCAGGTCTCGATGCAGGGCCTCGTCAAAAAGGGTGGGACTGTTCTTGAATCCTTGAGGGAGCCGTGTCCAAGTGAGTTGTCCTGAAATTCCCAGCTCAGGGTCTTTCCATTCAAAGGCAAACAGAGGCTGGCTCTGGGGGCTCAGCCTTAGGCAAAAAAATGCATCCTTTAAGTCTAAAACAGTAAACCAACGGTGGGTTGGTGACAGTGTGCTCAATAGATTGTAGGGGTTTGGTACTGTGGGGTGAATGTCTTCCACCCACTTGTTTACTTCTCTAAGATCCTGCATAGGGTGGAAGTCCCTGGTGCCTGGCTTCTTTACTAGTAAGAGGGGGGTATTCCAAGGGGACCTGCAAGGAATCAGGATCCCTTGGTCTAAAAGTTTTTTTTTTTTTATGTGGGGCCTGTTGCCCTGATAAGCTTCATTGGACATAGGGTGCTGTTTGATGGAAATTGGAGTAGCAGTGGCTTTAAGGTCTATAATCAGGGGAAGCTGCTGTAGGGCTAGCCCCATGCCTCCAGTCTCAGCCCAGGCTAGTGGACAATGTTTCAGCCATGAGTCCAAACTACTCTGGATTTCCTTTGGCCTCTCATATAGCCTGTATTCATCTTCCATTTTAAGAGTCAGTACATGGAGAGGGGTTTCATTTGGTCCCAATATGTTGGCCCCTGTCCCTTAAAAATAAATTTGGGCTTTTAGCTTGGTCAGTAAGTCCCGTCCTAATAATGGGTAGGGACAGTCTGGGACATGTAAGAAGGAATGAGAGATCTTCCCGGTCACCAGGTGTACCTTCCATTCAGTGGTCCAATGGTATTGCTTTCCTTCTGTGGCCCCCTACACCCAGGTTGTTCGGTTGTTGAGAGGGTCTGGGGACCTAGTAAGGACTGAACGCTGTGCTCCAGTGTCTACTAGGACGGTGACCGGTTGCCCCCCTATTTGAAGAGTTATCCTGGGCTCAGCAGGGGGCTCCTGGCCCTGACTTCCCTAGTCTTCATCCAGGGCCAAGAGTGAAGTCTTTGGCCCCAGATTCTTCTGCTTTCTGGGTCTCTTTGGGCAGTCCTTGACCCAATGTCCTTTTTCTTTGCAATAGGCACATTGGTGTCGGTCCACCTTGGGTCTCCTTTGCTCTCCCAGCCTGTCTGAACTGTAACTATTCTGTGCAGCGGTGGCCAAGAGGCAGCTAAGTTCCTTATTTTGCTTGCGGTCCCTAGCATTCTCTCTTTCCTCAGCTTCCTTCCTAAGTCTGTCCTCCCTCTGTTCCGAATTTCTATGTAGGTGCTCTTCCCTCTCATCAGGTGTCTCCCTTTTGTTGAATATGCGCTCTGCCTCTTACAATAAATCCTGAAGGGTATTATTATTTCTAATGTCATGCACTGACTGCCAAATAAAAGACATGGAAACATTCGCAGCCTGCCCTGGATCCTCAGGATCATAAGGGGTATACATGTGATAGGCCTCTTTCAGCCTTTCTAGAAAAGCAGTGGGAGATTCTTCAGAGCCCTGCATTACCTGCTTTACCTGAGCCAAATTGGTGGGGCGGTGCCCTGCCCTTCGGAGGCCTGCTATGAACAACTGGCGATAATGGCGTAGGTGTCCCTTACCTGCTTCCGTAGAGAAGTCCCAGTTGGGTCGGGTAAGGGGAAAAGCTGCATCCAGCTCATTTGGCAACAGAGTTGGCCTCCCATCCTCTCCCAGGATATTCTTCCGAGCCTCTAGAAAAAGCTTTTGTCTTTCCTCGGATGTGAGGAGCATCTGCAACAATTGTTGGCAGTCATCCCATGTAGGCTGATGAGGGATGAGAATGGATTCAATCAAGTTAGTTAAGGCTACAGGGTCCTTTGAAAAAGGGGGATTATGTTGTTTCCAGTTATAGAGATCAGAGACAGAAAAAGGCCAATATTGTAAATGGCCATCCCCTCCTTGACATAAGGGGAAAGCTTGTGAGTGTGTGGTGCTTTCTGAAGAGGCTGGTTCCCCATGTCTCCGCAGGCACGCCACAACAGGGGAACTGGGAGGTGGGGCGCCTCTGCAGTGGTGGTCTCAGGTTTCTCCGGAGGCTGTGGAGACTGACTCGGGCTAGTCCTTAATCCTGCCGGCTGTGCGGCGGCAGGCGGTGGTGCCTGAGGGGATGGATGGTAAGAAGGGGGGTTCTCAGACAGGAGATCTATGAGGGGGGTATCTGAGTCAGGTTGCAAGACAGGTTTGGGGGGATCTTTCTTAATCAAGGTAGGGTAGAGAGAGGAGGAAGGGGGTTTGGAGGAGGAGGGAGAGCAGTAGGAGAAGTCAAAGATGGCCACTTGGGTAGGACAAAGGGGGCCACAAAGGGGGGAGGATTACAGGCTAGGCTTTCCCAGGTGACGATATAGGCAACCTGGTCCAGGTGCCCATGGGGTCCCTTGTCACAGACTCTTTACTTGATCTGTAAAATAGTAGTAACGTTAAAAGTCCCATCCCTCAGCCATCCCATGTTAAAGGTGGGCCATTCAGAGGTGCATAATATCTGCCATTTCTTCTTCTTCACTTCGAGCGACTGGTTGGAGGCACAGTCGCGGACTTCAGCCCAATGATCTAGAGTCAAACTTAGGTTGATAGTCATGGATTGACTTATGGTTATTTCAAAGTAAGAGATAATACAAACGAATAACACAGACAAAAATACCAGACAGCCAGCTAACAGATGTGCTGTGCATTTTCGGTGTAAAACTGAAACCAAGAATTCAGATGGGGAGTCAGAGACGTGAGGTCCCTGTTCCCCTTGCAGAACAATGTATCCTTCAGACACATACTGAGCCCCAAAAAGGCGGGCTCCTGGAATTCCTGGAACATCTTCCAGGGTGGCGGGGGAGAAGTCCGAGTTCATCAACTCCTTCTCAAGCTGCCCAGAATTCTAAATGACCACGGATCCGAGTTGATTTTACAGACTCAGCACAGCACATTAAAGACAGAACAAAACAGCAGACAGACAGGGACAAACAGTGGCTGACCAGCTTACCTCCCGGTGGGTTGTCAGGTAGGTTGGGCAGGGGTCTCCCAATCTCGCTGGGTCCTCCAAATGAAAGACCCCCAAGAGGGTGTCTTGAACACTTGGAGACCCTCGCCAAAGAACCGAGTCTGAGCCACTGGATGCAAGAGCAAGAGGCAATTTTTATTGTTCACACAGGACCTGTGGTTGCTGCAGTAACACGGAGAAATGAGCACCCTGGGCTGGGTTTTGGGGCAGATTATATAGGTTTGGGGTAGGCAGATTCAAGCGTACAGAAACAGATGCATGGTTACAGGGATCTCATTGGTCAGTTTGAATGAGGCGAGGGGTGAATTTGAGGTCAGGTCCCTTGGCCCCTGGCTGGGGTCATAGAAACCAGATAATAGCTGACCTGACCCTATCTAAAGCACATATGGTTTTCCCCAAAATTTCCGTTCCCCTCCCAGGCCAGGTGTCTGACCATAAATCTCCTGTTTTGCGGCCTGGTGAGGCTGCCCTTGCCCTGATCTCAGATATCCTGCCAGATATCTGACCATAAATCTCCTGTTTTGCACCCTGGTGAGGCTGTCCTCGTCCTGACCTTCCATTATTCCTATTTGTTTGTGAAAGAGCCTTGCAAAATGGTGTTACTGCAGCTAAAGCTGGGTCGGGGTCTTACAAGAGTTTGAAGTTCTCAAGGAGGAGACTAAATCTTTCTCTGATATGACTCGGTCGACTGATCAAAATATCCAGAAAGTAGAGTCTGATATTACGTCTTTAGAAGGGAGCTTCACTGCTCTGGAGGAGGGGACAACAAAATGACTCGTAACCTCCAGTCCATGACTATAAGTGCTGAAACATTAGCTGAGAGAATTAAAACCATTGAATGTGAAAATTGGACTTTATCAAAAGGGTATGATAGATTAATTGACAAGATTTCCATACAAGAAGGCACAGTACATGCCATGAGGATTATGTCCAAGGAGGATATGGTATCTCTAACGGACAAGCTCCATGCCTTAGAATTATCAATGAAGGTGATAGTGTCCAGGGAGGAAATGGTATCTCTGACGGACAAGTTCCATGCCTTAGAATCATTAATAAAGGCTTTGGAGCATAATACTGGACAGGAGATTCAGGACTTACAGAAGGCAATGGTGAGCAGATTTAAAAAGATTGAGAAAATCATAGATTCTGATGAACAGGAGCAAAAGGTAGAAAGGCCACATTTACCTCCAAAAACTCTGAGTCTACACAGAGTTATACCTGCCTTTCCAGTAATAACATCAGAAATGATAACTGGCTCCAAAAACCCTAAGGTCATTAAAGAACATACATGGGAGCCTATACGTATGAATGATCTGAAAGAATTTAAACAAGCAATTATAAATTACGGACTACATTCATCCTTTGTTAGAGAGATGTTAAAATCCTGGGCTCTCAGCTGCAGGGCAATGCCTCAAGACTGAAATCAGTTAATGTCAGCAGTCTTGGAGAATGGATCTTTTTGGCATTTCAAATGCCTATTCAAGCAAGAGGCCAGACTTTTACAACAACAACCTCAAGGAATTGAGGTTTCTCTAGGTCAAATTCTAGGTGAAGTACTTTACTCTGATCCTCAGGAACAAGCTCTTTATGATAAAAACATTTTATCCATATGTGCCACAGCAGCTCTATGGGCCTGGGACAGGGTTCAAGACTCAGGTCAGAGAATAGAATCAGATATCAGGATAAAACAGGGTCAGAGAAAACCCTTTAATGACTTCTTACAGAGACTAACTAAGGCTGTACAAATAGGGATACCTGATCCAGAAACAAGAAATATAGTAATTGAGTCTTTGGTTTATGAGAATGCCAACGTAGAATACAAAAGGATCCTGGGGCCTTTAAAGATCAGATCAGCACCTTTGGATAAATGGGTATTACATACAATGAATGTTGATACATTTGATTATGACAATAAAACATGGGTACAAGAAGCAATTTCCAAAGGTAAAAGGAGACATCAGATTACAAAATGCTTTCATTATGGAAAAATGGGACACATAAAAAGGAACTACAGACAATGGAATTCCAAAAATAATGCCTCTTCTAGAAATAACAGAAATAGTAGGACTCAGCCTTCAGGTTTATGTAGGAGATGTGGAAAGGGCAGGCATTGAACGAAAGAGTGTAGGTTGACAAGAGATAAACAGGACAACCCATTGCCATTGGGAAACGAAATGAGAGGCTTCTTGCAGGCCCCCATGCCGAATGTGGTCCAGTCATTTCTGGTCAATGCAGAGAACATGCTTCTTCAGAGAAATTAGAATGACCCATGCCTGCTGTTAAAAGCAATAGCGGCCTGAAGGACGAGTTAAATGTGGTGAATGAATCAGGAAATCTAAGAGGACAAAGTAAACCATATTCTGGCAGACTTCTATAAATGAACAAAGACCAAAGCTAAGAGTGTGTGTAAATGGCAAATTTATTACTGGCTTACTGGACACAGGTGCGGATGTAAATATCATTACTCCAGAATCTTGGCATCCGCACTGGCCTCTTCAGGAGGCAGATATTCAGTTCCTAGGCATTGGAACCCTATCTCGAGTAAGACAAAGCACGAGATGGGTCAATTTTATAGGTCCAGATGGACAAATAGGAAAACTAAGGCCATATGTAGCCAATATTGCAGTGAATTTATGGGGCCGTCACCTATTCCAGGAATGGAATACCCAAATTAACATTCCTGCTGCTTCTAGAGCCTATATTTCTGAGGAAAATATTACAAGATATTACAGATGGCTGAAACCAGCCATTAGAACTATACAAAAACACAACACAATTGATGGCCCTTCAGAGGTACCAACAGCCATGCTTCTACAATGGTTTACTGGGAAACCAGTATGGACTAAACAGTGGCCTTTAGCTGAGGAAAAGTTGGAGGCTTTAGAACAGCTGGTACAAGAGCAATTAGATGCTCGACATATAGAAGAATCTACCAGCCCTTGGAATTCTCCTGTATTTGTTGTTAAGAAAAAATCTGGTAAATGGAGAATGGTGACAGATCTTAGAGCTATCAACAAGGTTATTCAACCTATGGGCACTCTGAAATCTGGAATTCCTCTGCCCTCCCTGTTACCAAAGGGATGGCTTCTTATAGTTATCGACCTGAAAGATTGTTTCTTCACTATACCTTTACAAGAAAAAGATAGAGAAAAATTTGCCTTCACAGTGCCTACTTATAATAACTCTCAGCCTGCAAGGAGGTATCAGTGGACCGTCCTTCCACAGGAAATGTTAAACTCTCCCACCCTGTGCCAATATTTTGCAAGCCAACCATTGAAAATTATATGCAAACGATTTCCTAAGTCCATAATATACCACTATATGGATGACATTTTAATATCTGATCAAAACAAAGATACCTTAGAAAGGATGTTTGAAGAAGTAAAACTAGTATTACCTTAATGGGGATTGCAAATTGCTCCTGAAAAAATTCAGAGAGGAGATTCTGTTAATTATTTAGGTTATAAAATAGGTGTACAAAGAATTAAGACACAAAAGGCACAAATCAGGAGAGACCGGTTACAAACTCTTAATGACTTTCAAAGATTATTAGGAGACATCTCCAGCCTACGACTGGCTGATGGGATAACAACTGATCTAATAATTCATTTAAACAAGACCTTGGATGGTGATAAAGACTTAAACAGTCCCAGAGAATTAACAGCTGAAGCAGAAAAAGAAGTGACAGTGGTTGAAGAAAAATTACAGGAGGCTCATGTGGACAGGGTAAATCCAAAGCTTAGTTGTATTCTCGTTATATTGCCTTCCAGAATTTCTCCTACAGGAATCTTGATAAAAAGAGATGATATTATCTTTGAATGGATCTTTTTGCCACACAAATCAAGTAAAAAATTAAAAACTTATGTGGGCAATAACAATTACCCAAAAAGCAAGAGACTTAACTTTATAAAGAAAACTTCTTGGATCCTTCCTCGAATCGTCCGTGATGCTCCAATAACCGGAGCCCATACATTTTATACTGATGCTAATAAATTAGGGAAAGCAGATTACAAATGAGAAGAATTGAGTAAAGTGGAACAAAGTCCTTATGATTCTGTCCAGAAGGCAGAATTATATGCCAGTTTTATGGTGCTTAGGGATTTTAAAGAACCTCTTAATATAATTACTGACTCACAATATGCAGAAAGAGTTATCTTGCATATTGAAACTGCTGAATTTATACCTGATGATACAGAACTAACCTCACTGTTTATCCAGGTACAAGACATGATCAGGAACAGGCTTTGTCCTATGTATATAACACACATCCAATTTCATATGGGTCTACCAGGTCCTCTAGCACAAGATAATGCAGATATTGATCAATTATTGATTGGTAGTGTGCTGAAGGTATCTGAATTTCATAAAAAACATCATGTCAATAGCAAAGGCTTGAAAAAAGAGTTTTCTATTACATGGCAACAAGCTAAGGAGATTGTAAAGAAATGCCCTACTTGCTCTTTTTATAACCAAAATCCATTGCCTGCAGGGACTAATCCAAAGGGTATTAAAAATAATGAAACTTGGCAGATGGATGTGTTCCACTTTCCAGAATTTGGCAAATTAAAATATATACATTACACCATTGACACGTACTCAGGTTTCCAATGGGCAACTGCTTTAAGCTCAGAAAAAGCTGATTCAGTCATCACTCATTTATTAGAAGGTATGGCCATCATGGGTATACCTACCCAGATAAAGACGGATAATGGTCCAGCTTATGTTTCTAGGAAAATGAAGTGATTTTTTTGCTTATTATAATATTAAGCATGTTACAGGTATACCATACAATCCTACAGGTCAAGCAGTTATAGAAAGATCAAATCGAACTATAAAAGATATGTTGAACA